ACACACACACACACACGCTGATGTTTTTGTCTCCAATCTGTCATGTACCTCCTGTTTCCTCTGAAATCGCTGTGCAACAGACCGCAAATAACAAATGGGAGAAAACGTTCATCAGTCTGTCATCAGTGCGGCAGCGAGGAGAAAAGACTTAACGTCAGACTGAAAATGCAGCAGTGAGACAAACAGTAGAGAGAACTTAGGTAACCACACAGAGACATCAGGAAATTGACAAACTAATGCGTCTTTGTCTGCCTAATTTATTCCATTCACACTCTGCTGCCATTTATTGAGAACATTCACACAAGAAGCCTCTCAGGGGGAAATCAGGTTGCACCACAAACGACTTTACGTCTACATGCTCTGTACGATGTGCAGCAGGGCACTGATCAGCTTTACTCACTTTAAAGGGTTTGGTGACAATCCCAACGTATTCCTGTACACAACAGAGAAAAGTAAAGGTCACCTTAAGTGTCAAAATGTGTGGTAAACTATAGTGAGGTCTCTAATATTTGATCTCATGAAGACAGTTTAGTGACGTCTCTGTCAGAAGGCATTTTAAACTACATTTGGAATTCCTGTTCAGAAAAGCCTTGACTGTAATCATAAAACATCTGAAGTCAAAGTAGATTTACTGTAAGGTCAACTCAGATTTCAAAATGCATTGTACACTTTTCATATTTGAACTTAAAGTTTACACGTATTGCTGTCCAGAACTGCTTTCATAGTAACAAATAAAATACTAAAAAGCGTTAACAAGCCAGGAACATGTTAGTGCCAGTCAGTCCCAATTTACCCTTCCTAAACCCCGCCCCTTTTTGTTCTGGGCTCCAATCATAGTTGAGCAAGCGTCGGTCAACTTTCCCCTTTCCTGTACCTAGATATGCTATATGCTATGCTAATCTATGTTGAAAAGACAACCACATTTAGAAGATGGTTAATAAAAGCAACATATATATACTGTATATATAGGCACATTTTAAGTTAGCAGCTAGCTAAATACCAATTTTAATTAACTAGCTAGTTACTCTGCATGTAAAATCTGTCAGGATTTACTTCGTCCCCAGAAGTAATAACCAGTTTTAAATGCTGGTGCAACCAGGCCTTTAGCCTTGGTTAGCAGTTAGCATCCTCAATCAGTATTTTATATTACTGCAGCATTGTGTTTAGTTCTTTTGTTTATGTGTATTAAAATAACATCAATGAGGACAAATTTGTGTTTTTAAAAGGATTTTTAGTCAACACTAATATTAAAAATATTTCTTTTTAAAAAGAGTAATAGTTTACATTCATTTCAGTCTGACTTTCAAGTGTCTTTTTAGTATAATTTTCAGAGAAGCTGATTGGCTGATGTGAACATGACAGTTTGGAGAGGAAAGCACTCTGATAGGCTCTCTCCCAGCTTCACAACACTTCCTGTTGAAGAGAGGTCCCGCCCACTTTAAGTGCTGTTTTCTCCTATTCGTTTTATTTTTTTTAACAGGCTGCATGCTATTGGATGAGAACGCTAAGTCACGCCCATCAAAAACCAAGTGATGCATGTGACAGAAGAACACGCAGAAGTTCTCAACAACCAATCAAATCTAATTTTTCTTAAAGAAATGTTTTCTAAGGATGTGATAACACATTTGTGTTCATTAGTACGGACTGAACTGAAGTGATATCGCACTGTGAAGAACAGATATCACTTTTCTTTTATTTATACTAAATATAAGTGAGGTAGAGAAGGTAGATTAATAAGCCAGTGAATTAACACAAGCAACCCGTCTATAGAGTTTAGTTTTTTTCTTAGTTTTCTGTTTGTTTTTCTGAGCATGAAGTTGCATGTGACAGATATATAAATGTGGATTGTCAAAGGCTGTGACTTGAGGCAATGAAGGTCATTTTACCCTCAGTAGGAGATGAGTTTTAAAGGGGGACTTGCCACTAGAGGTTGCACCAGCATCTCAGACCAAAACAATGGACACTAAGGCCCACCAGACTCCAATAACAAAACCAGTAATTTTACCAAAGCAGATAAAACGCGAACAGAAACAAAATAAAACTCACCCAAACCGTCTTTGTTAGTCTTTCCAACAATCACCAACTCTGGTTTGGTGGAAATAAATCCTTAATTCACCGAC